ACACACACTTGTGGAAAATAACTCGATAACAATACATCCAAGTCAGCAATATGCGTATTCAAACCTTCTACGTTATACAATAAAAATATAAGATTTTCAGATACACTTTTCGGTCTATCTTTTTTCCAAATCGAACAAATATCAGAAATGCTCGTTCTTTGATTCCATTCATCAACTATTTCATATATCTTTTCCTTATCCCTAGGAGGCCCTGCATACGAATTAATCAACGAACTATTTATTAATGGCGATGCATATCGAAAGTTCTTACTATCCATTAATCTCGGCAATTGAGTTAATACCTTCTAATAACAATACTGTTTGATTATCTAATAAGACCAATAATTTTTGATTGTATTCAGTTGATAATGATGAATGCTTATCAATTGTTTGAATATGAGTATCAATGTTTTCACATGTTTGTTTAATAAGTTGTTGCTCATCATTATTATTCAATTTTAAACTGTTCACAACTTGTTTTATAATAATCAATGTCATCTTAACTATCGGTAGAATTTCAGTCATCACTACATTATTACATTTAACTATTTCGTTTGAGTTTTAGTTTGTATGTGAATCAAATTTAATTGCGCATTTAATCGTTGTATATTCTCTTGTTGTTTTAATTCGAATTCTTTCATTCTTAATACATAATCATTTTTTATCTTATCGAAGTCTAATTGGATTCGTTTTACTTCTTCAGTAAATTTTATGTCATATTGATGATATTGTGATCCTATTGTCATCAATCGTGGAAGTTCCGGCCATTCATTCAGATCATTATAACAATGTATTTGTTGACTATACTGCTGATGTTGGTTACGGGCTGATTTATTATATAATACCTTTCCTGTTCTATCGCCATTTTTACGACAATCAGTTAGAATGAACAACTGAACATTTGGTGGGAGTAAATCAGGACGTTTTTTCAATTCAATAACTAAATTGTATCTATATTCTTTTAAATGTGGACACCTATAATCATTAGATCTATGAGCATCACTACATCGGAAACATTTTATCGTACATTCTTGGTGATCACCTTTAGTACGATTTTCGCCACATCGACAACGAACTTCATAATCCCATGTACAATATTTTCTTGTATGTCCTGGTTCAGTGCATTTTGAGCAAATTAATAGACGAGGTGGTTGTAAAAACTCCTCGACGTCATGATATAATCCATTTAGTGGTAAAACCCTATCATCACGTATTTTTTCGTATTCTTCTTTCGATGTAAAGTCCATACGAATATGACGACTTTTATTTGTTTTGCTTCCTTGCAAGTCATCAATTGAGTAAATTGAATTATATTTCAGCTTCAGATCATTTTTAATTTCGTTTGTCGTTAAATTATTATTTCAGCATAATAGAATATTGTGATGGAAGGCGTTTGGCAATATTGGCTTCAAATTAATATTTAACACTTTATCTGGATAATTATCTTTATTACAGAAATAAACAAATAGATCAACATCTTTTGTAAAACAAATCAAATCTCCTTGTTTCTCTAAATACCAATAATCAAATGCCAATAATTTACTTCTGTTATTATTATCGCCACGAAATTTTGTTTCTACATGTTTGAAAAATTCATTTACCAATTTAACTCCTTCTGGTTGTTGTTTCACTTTTGGTTCCAACTCAATTTGTATCGATGGCAGATGATTTTCAGCAGCAAAATCAAGAGATTGTTGTGATACCTGCATTGGTTTTTGTTTATTTTTAGTATGATCATTTGTTTCAATACTTATTTGTTGCTTAAATGTATTCTCATTATAATTTATATTAG